CACCCTCAGAGGGAAGGATTTCTTCCTCAGATCCCATCGAAATCTCCCCTCTTTCAGTTTAAAGCCATTGCCCTGTGTCCTGTCACTCCACACCCTTGACCAAAGCCCCTCTCCAGCTTTCCTGGAGCCCCTTTAGGTACTGGAAGGCTGCTGAAAGGTCTCCCTGGAGCCTTCTCTTCTCCAGGCTGGACAACCTCCCCCCAAGTCTTTTGCTAATCTTTTTTATTGAAAGAGTTTTCTCCACGCTGAGGCTCAACAAGTGCAGACCCTCCCTGACACAGATCTGTTATCTCAAGGACCTCCTTAGCAGAGCAAAGCTCTGGGAGGTGTGGTGGCTTGGCAGAGGAATGTGCGGTGACTCAACAGCAAAGCTGGAGCTGCTGCAGAGCCTCCTCCTCACTGCTGTGAAGAAGAAGAGCCACAAAACCAGTGAAGGGTCTGGAGCACAAGTTTTATGAGGAGCAACTGGGATTGTTCTACCTGGAGCAAATGAGGCTGAGGGGAGACTTCTCCCTCTCTACAACTACCTGGAAGGAGGTTGTAGTGAGGTGGGGGTTGATCTTTTCTCCCAAATAACAAGCGATAGGACAAGAGGAAATGGCCTCAAGTTGTGCCAGGGGAGGTTTAGATTGGATATGAGGAAAAATTTCTCCATTGAAAGGGTTGTCAAGCACTGGGACAGGCTGCCCAGGGAGGTGGTTGAGTCACCATCCCTGGAGGTGTTTAAAGAGGTGTAAATGTGGTGCTGAGGACCGTGGTTTAGTGGTGGTCTTGGCAGTGTTGGGTTCACAGTTGGACTTGATGATCTTCAAGATCTTATCCAATCTAAAGGACCCTGGTGGCTGTGCTGGGCTGAGCGCATGAGGAGACCCTCAGAGGCTGCTCTGAAAAGGTATCTGGAAATAAAATTCGTGTTTTTTTAAAAATCAGGCTGCAAAAAGGATAGTTCAGGCATCTGTTTTGGCACATGAAAAAGAGCACGAAGTGGCAAAAGGTGGGTGACACCGGTAGGGCAGCGTGTTGGTGAGCCTGTGGGTCAGACCTGCGTGGTGAAATCGCTTTTGTTACTGACTTTCATGGGGATTGGGGGAGTTATCTGGAAATAAAATTCGTGTTTTTTTAAAAATCAGGCTGCAAAAAGGATAGTTCAGGCATCTGTTTTGGCACATGAAAAAGAGCACGAAGTGGCAAAAGGTGGGTGACACCGGTAGGGCAGCGTGTTGGTGAGCCTGTGGGTCAGACCTGCGTGGTGAAATCGCTTTTGTTACTGACTTTCATGGGGATTGGGGGAGTTCTGAACCTAGAAGGTTAGCTTGAAAATTTAGCTTAGGAATGTTTATTTTCCTCATTTGAGCAAAACCCAAGAAGCACTTTCATGATTTGGAGAAGAGAAGGCTGTGGGTTGATCTTATTGCAGCCTTCCCATACTTAGAGGGGGCTACAGGAAAGCTGGAGAGGGACTTTGGGCAAGGGTGTGGAGTGACAGGACATGGGGCAATGGATTTGAACTGGAAGAGGGGAGATTTCGATGGGATCTGAGGAAGAAATTCTTCCCTCTGAGGGTGCTGAGGCACTGGCACAGGTTGCCCAGAGAAGCTGTGGCTGCCCCATCCCTGGCAGTGTTCCAGGCCAGGCTGGATGGGGCTTTGGGCAACCTGGTGTAGTGGAGGGTGTCCCTGCCCATGGCAGGGGTGTTGGAACTGGATGATCTTTGAGGTCCCTTCCCACCCAACCCATTCCATGATTCCATGCTAGTTGTTTTTTCGCACCGTGGCCCGTGCCAAGCGACCGCCCTCACGGCAGCAGGAGGAAAACCAGCTCCATGGTGCTGCCGGTCTCCCGCGGCGCTGGTTACTAACAGACGCCGTCGTCTTCTCCGTAGGTCTCATCGACGACCACAAAAACACGCACGGGGACGCGCCGCGGCCGCCGCCGGCCGCGCTGCCCAGGTGGAACAACCCCCGGCAGCCCGCCTTCGGCAGGAGGGGGAGGTTTTCGGCCAGGTACTCCCAGCAGGCTCCCAGGGATTTCCAGCTGCGCCAGGCTCACTCCTGGAAGAAAAAATATTCGCTCGTCAACCGGCCGCCGGGATCGGCGCGCGACGGTGGAAGTGGTGGAAGTGCCAGCACGTCCCGGGCTTTTGGAAGCCGTGGGGAGAGCGAGCCGGCGGAATTATCCCCGGAGAGACACGTGGACTTCACCACGGATGGTAACATAGTTGTGGGGATCCAGCTGCCGGAGAGAGCTGGCGCCGTTGGAGATGCGAAACGTTTTGCTGACGTGGGATCTTACTGTGAGTTTTCCGGGTTGGAAGCGGTGGTTCCCGCTCCAGGTGACGGCGGAAACGTGCAGAAATCCCCGTACGCCGGCCGGGATGAAGAGAGGAGACTCTCTCTCTCCGTTTCATTCAGTTCCTCCCACCGCTTCGTGAGTTCGGCGTCCGTCAGCGTGTCGGATCCATCCAGGGTGGTGTGTCTGGCCGGCGACGGGGGCGGGAGGCGCTCTCCCTCCC